TCTCCTTCCCGATTTCGCTCGTCCTCACTCGTGTCCTACGCAACCTCTGCCTATCATAGCACCAAAACCAACACTCTAACACAAAAAGTAACACGACTAATTGCCTCGCCTGGGGTCAAAACCTCGGAGTAAAACCCATACCTCGCCCGTTCCCAAGTGGAAAACGGACAAAGCCGATCTCCTCCCAGTTCAGATAGTGTATCCCGCACGCAGACTCTACAACCTGTACCGAACAAACCGTTGCTCGAACACAAAAACTGGCGCGCCCAATCTCTCTGTAATACCTCAAAACCCCCATTTCGCATCTTTACTCGCCCGTTTTCGTAAAGGAACGGGCCAGTTACACAATTTTTACTCCTTCCATGGTCGTTTTCTTCCTTTTTTTCTCTTTATTTAAAAGGGCGACGACCTTGAGATATCATCATTGACCTGACCGGCCCCAAGCAATTCAGAAATAGTTGGTTTTGTTCATCAAGCAAAGTTCCTTCATCTGGGTTCGAACATGGGTCTGTATTTCAACAGTTCAATGGTGTACCCACTGAGCTAGGCTCTTGGGTATGGTCGCTTTCTTAGCACCTTCGCGCATCAGTTTTTTCTACTAACTCTTGTTCCACTAATTTATTGTCCAAACTAACTTCACCGGTGTATTCGCCTTGGCAAAAAAAAAAACATGCACCGTCTATTCCCTCTCGTTTTCGTTATGAAATGAACAGGGTATAACTATTCACCCCCGCCATAGTCGTTTATCCCCCGTCGCTGCCTTCATCCGTTTTTCGTATGCACCCGACACTCTTTGCGTCCGGATTCGTTGTCGCACCGCTGCCTCGACTTCCCCTCTGTGCCAAAACCGTGCGCTAACCCAAACACCACAACGCACGTTGATGATACAGGCAACAGGACAGTGGTATTGGAAGTCGAACTCAGTTGAGAGCTGTATAAGAACTTACCTGCCGAACCAGTCCACCCCGAACTCGGATGGAGCTGAAACACGGGACCTCTGCTCTGCCGTCGGGGCAACTCCAATGCCCCATTGAGTAGGAGGGCGCCGGGCCTGCTGCAAAGCCCACAGCGTGATCCTGGTTGAGGCGCGTCCCGATGCAGATCTTGGTGGTAGTAGCAAATGTTCAAATGGGAACTTTGACGAAGGGTTCCAGGCGCACAATCAGTGTTGCTGCGGCCTCCGCCCTGGTGCACCCATCCCACTGCGCCCAGGCACAACTCACCATCTTTCGAGTCCCAAGGGCATGCTCACACTCAAACCTCTCACAACAGATTGTGGGTGGGGGCCGGACGGTGCATGCGCAGAGAGTCCCCGATACTCAGGTTCCCCCCCCCCCGCCGCGCGGACTAGGCACCCACGGGGTCGCATGCACGTCGAACCCCTTCATCCGTGTTTCAAGCCGGGCAGGGTAAAGGAAATTTGCCAGCATCTCGGACACGCAAGGGCCATACTAACCTCCCCTGCATCGTTCCAAATTTTTACGGATGTCCCGAAGGACTGGTCTCGGGGCTGCAGCCCGACGATTGCATCGTGAAACCGGCCAGCCCCAGCTAATTTAGAAATGTAGCGTTTTGCTGATCTGCATCTAGTGGAGTTTCATGCCGCGTCCCAGAAATGGGACTGGCAACTAAAATAATTAAGGAAAAATAAAAAATAAAAGTAAAAATATAAAAATATAAAAAATCCGGAACATGTGCTTTGGGGAAGGGAGACTCTCGGCGCCCCCTTTTAGCTCGGTCATCTGGGCCCACGGATGGGCCGACAACAAAAAACACGGGGGATAGCCCCATTGGGCCCTCAACCCCTCGACATCTTCAGCCGCTCCAATGTTCCATTGCCGCTGGTCGCCGCCCTCGATCCTCGTAGCTCTGCCTTTAAAGTCCAATGACATAACCAATAGTGCTATGCCCAAGGTTGCCATTGGCACCAACAGAAGCCCATATAAACGGGTATCGCTACGCATACAGATCCGCTACTCCAAAAACACTCCTTCGGCTTGTCAACTAAGTCCACACGACCGTCAACCTCCCTCGTCCACCGCGCGGAGGTCCCTGCTCGCATTCTATTTTCTCTCGCATGCTTCGATCAACGCCTAAAAGCAATATTACTGCCTAATGACGTCTTCCGTATGAGCGCACACGCACCATGGTCACTTCAACATAGAGAAAAACCCTTCCTAATTTTAATTAAAAAATCAAAAGTTTGTCGGCGGGAACGCTAACTCTATGACATCAAAATAAGAATCATCACGTGTGCCTCAAAACTGCGCGACTTTTAGTCAACCATTCAGTCATCGTGAACAAAACGCAACTGCGACTTCGCACAATGTACTCAAATTTTAAACAAAACTTATTTTCTGTCACTTGCAAAACCGGGGCGGATACCCTTGTAAGGGTATTCGCGCCGACGCCGGCCATGAAAGGCAAGTGGGGAAGGGCAGTAGCTAGATGACGAAGGTACACCTCCAACAAATGGTGACGAAGAGGGCTGCAAATGGCAGACTGCAGCATGGGACAAACACCTTGTAACATTTTTCGTCGCGGAATACAGTGGGCGATCAGAGCAAGGGGGGTCGATTGAAGTATTCAAATTTGCCGACTGTTCGGCCCCTTTCCGTTTGGCGGCACGCACTGCGAGGGAGAACACTGGTCGACGACGTCCGCGGGGGCCGGCTGGCCACCAATGGTTACTGTTGGTGTAAGGTTCCTGGAAAGCTGAACATTGAAGACCCAAGATGTCCGTGCGCTGCCCGGTAGGAACTCCAATGGACCAGCCAACGAAAATTTCATGCCGACGACGGGTGCTCTCGCCACTCCGATTATCACGGATCCTTGACCTCCAAAGGACCTCGGGAGGTCCCTTGGGGAATGCCACTAACTGGCTGTAGCCCGAGGACGCCCCGAGGATTCCCGAAGGAAATGTTTTCACAATTTTTTGGTTTTCATCCCCGCGGATAGGTGGAATGAAAATTTCCTTGGGGGATTTACGCACCCGAGGAATGTCTAACGAGCCCCTTTATCTGCATCATTCTCTGTGAAGTAACAACAGCCAGCAGAAGTCCAAAATAATTGCAGAGTGCAATTCTATATAGAAAACACTGTGTGAAGCATTAGTTTAAAGTGATGCATGGAGTAGATATAATATAGGGAAAGTTAGGGGCACCCAGCCGCTGTGGTTGATAGGCACACCTCACACATATATCTGTTTGAAGGAAAGGTCTTCAGTTCAAATCCTCATGGATACCTGTTGGTGAACAGGTCTTCAGTTTGAAATTCCTGAAGACCAACATCAATTTGAACTCTATCTTCATGCAGTACTTCCAATATAGAATTGCACGCTGCAACTATTTTGGACTTCTGCTGGCTGTCGTTACTTCACAGAGAATGATGCAGATAAAGCCATCTTAATTTCATTTCAATGTTTTTCTAGCTTCTTTTCCCCTCAAAGAGTTGCTGTGGGGAATCGAACTGATGGTCGATGACGACGTACGAAGGCCAAGCTCAACATACAGGAACTTGAATGCAATGGCATGCAATGACTGCATAGTTATGGGATCGTCACCTCTGCCGTTAACGACCAATCTCAACATACAGCAACTTAAACACAATGACTGCATAGTTATGGGATGCGCACCTCTGCCGTCAGGTGAGGACTGCCATGATGGAGAGAGGGGAAGACTGCCATGATGGAGAGAAGGGAAGTAGAAGTACCGGAAGGGAGAGAGGGGAATAGCGGAGGGCAAGGGAGAGGGTGCGATAAAGAATAGCGACAGGCAACGGCAAGGGCCAAATTGCCTCCGATCACGTTTCCATTCATAGGTTGAAAATTCCAGCCCTGGGTCAGATCTTCCTGGGATCATGATCTCACCTTCCTGGCTGGAAATGGGAGGGGGTCTATGTTTGCAGGGGTCCCCTGTATAAGCCTTAGGAGTAGTGGTAGGTAGTGAAAGTGAATTGAAATAATTTGAAAGATGATGAAAGATTTGAGAGAAGAATAAAGCGTTGGGAGAATATGTCATTGGCTGTTCGGGCGTGACTTGTTCGCAGCTAACTGGTTTTCAGCCGGGAGAAATCAGGCGACCGAAAGTGGAGAACCAGGGGGGGAAAGGGGGGTCGATAAAGGGTCCATGGAGGGGGCAATGGTGAGTGAGTGACGTTCCGGGCGTGTGAGTGACGTTCCGGGCGAGTGAGTGACGTTCCGGGCGAGTGAGTGACGTTCCGACGTGAAAAAGAGCGCGAGGGTGCGTGTCCAGCAGCGAATTTCAGACGTGGGTAGTGCGCGGGGGCGGACACCTTCCGCTGCACTTTTTCGACGTGAAAAACGCGCGGGGTGTGGGTCCAGCTGTGAATTTCGGAGGCGAAAACGCGGGGTAGTGGGCGGGCGGACGATGAAGCAGGCATGGCTGTGAATGAGGAGCCTTTTCCACGTTACCGTTTCGTTTTGAACAGGACGGCCCGCCGTGAAGCCGAAGGACTGACTGTGCGGGAATGATCAGCATCATGCGAAAATTTTGCGCTTATTGTTTATATAGTTCATTTTGGAGACGGGAAGAAAATTCTCCGCAAGTTGTCCGAGAATGCTTCTCGACACCACCTCCTGTCTGTCGAAAGTTGTTGAATCCCCACCCAGCCTCCTGCTACTCCGAAGCTTTCGACCGTCCTCGGCTGCGCCATCGACTTCTCTTGATTTGGTGAGTGGGCGTGAGGTCGGGATGGACTAGTGCTTGTCGTACCCTCAGGGGCGTTCGTCGTTTTCCATCTTTTTACATTCACAAGTGCGTGCATTCTACAGTGCTGTGTGGCGAAGGGGAGGGGAGGGGAGAAGGGGGGGGGGAGGAAATCGTTTGGCGAAAAATGTCTGACATCACAAATAGATCGGAGCCTTTGAAAAAGAAAGAAAAAGAAAAAAAAAAGAAAAAAGCCTGACAGTTGCTGAAAAGAACGGTTCCCGACACTGGTGTCGCGAGGCCCAGAGTATTCAACCAGCAATAGACGCGGCTCGGTTAGCCCTCATAGACTGCGTCATTGCTTCAAGCGCAAAGATTTATGGTTTATTTTTGATTCCTTGATCACGCGTGATTCACAGTACACGTCAGCTATACAAGTAGCACTCAACGTCCCCGCGAGGAGCGCAAAAATCAAGCGCACACATCGATTGGCTGGTGGCCTTGTGAGGGCCAGGACTGAGTCAGTTCTAGTGTGTGTGTGTGTGTGTGTGTGTGTGTGTGTGTGTGAGAGAGAGAGAGAGAGAGAGAGAGAGAGAGAGAGAGAGAGAGAGAGAGAGAGAGAGNGAGAGAGAGAGAGAGAGAGAGAGAGAGAGAGAGAGAGAGAGAGAGAGAGAGAGAGAGAGAGAGGAGGAGGAGGAGGAGGAGGAGGAGTCTTTTTGGCGGGGCGCATGTGTGATTAGCTCGGCCTGCCGTGATTTCGGGTCCGCTTCCGAATCAATGAGCGGCGTTGAGGTCGCTGCGGCGCTGCCGCATGAATGTGGAGATGGCGGCAAAGATCGGCAAAATCTGGGGACAGAGGAAGAAGTGGTGGAAGGAATGGAAGAAGCCACTGCTACAGCCGTTGAGGCGAGCGCAGAGGAGACGACGTCCGCGACGAAACAAGGGAAAGTTTTGTTGCCTCTTGGCGTTGGGAAGGATCACTTCAAAGAGGCCACGACGGCTATGGCGCCCGGATTGATTGCTGTTCAACCCGGGGGATCGGCAGTGGCAGTAGCGATAGGCGCCGGCCTGCGAATCTTTGACATCGCAAAAGGGCAAGCGGTCACTCTGCTCGACGAGCAGGGAAGGCCAGACAGGCATGGAGACTCTATCAGGGCATGTGCTTTCCATCCCAGTGGACGGTTCTTTGCTTCCGGAGGGGACGATAAGTTGCTGAAGCTCTGGGACACTGCCACGTGGCAATGCCGCCGCAATATCCGTCATCCGAAGAAAATCAGCGCTCTAACTTTCAGCGCAGACGGTTGTTGGGTGATAACAGCGGACAAGTTTGGAGTTGTACACGTGGCCGCCGCTCATGATGCCACAACAGTAGAGCTTTGTGGCGCGTCCGCTGATGAGCATGCCGATGGAGAGAAGACCGATGTCGATCAACCGACGCAACTGCTGGCGCATTACAGCAGCATTATCACGAGCGTAGCTGTCTCGGACGATGGCCGATTTGTAGCAAGTGCAGATAGAGATTTCAAGGTTAGGGTTAGTGTATTTCCTCGGCAGCCAAAAAGGGGCGCGCACGAGATTCAGAGCTTCTGCCTCGGTCACACACAGTTCGTGACCTGTGTGGCATTTGTGTGCGACAAGCGGTCTACCACCACGGAGATAGATGCGTCTGGGAATCCAGACTCGACGACGAGTCCTCCACCTAGCCTGGGTGCTCTTCTCGTATCTGGAGGGGGGGACGGGACAGTGAGACTCTGGGACCACCAATCAGGGGTGCTTCTGGACACTCTTTGCCTAGATGATCACTATGCCGACCAGTGCGGGGAAGGGGAGAGGAAACAACACGGCGGCGGCGATGGTGGGCGCTTGTCACCGTCGACTTGCGCGGCAGAAGCTCAAGAAGACGAGCACGAGGAGGAAGGAGGAGGAGGAGGAGAAGAAGAAAACGGGCAGAAGCGATATGGCGGACGCATTGCTCAGGGAGTACGCGGACCGAGAGCTGTGATCGCGATGGCCGTTGGCCAGGATGGCCGTTCCATCGCTGTGGTATTGGAAAGTGTAGAAGCGATCGCATTGTTGAAGTGCGATTTCCTTAGGCAGAAGCTTGAGGTCATACAATGGGTATCTGTGAAGGGCAACTCTGCCCCCACCAGTTTGTGCTGGGATCCGTGCAGTCGCGGTCGTCTGTGGGCTGTATCGGGAGCTGTGGAGGCACATGAGAGTGGAGATGCAGAGATGACACCTGAGAGCATTACAGCACTGGAGGACTGGGCGGCGGCAGTGTCAGCAGCAGCTGCTGTACGCCTCGTAATAGTCGATCAGAAGAAGAAAGTATCTGCGCAAACCCGTCAGGGGTGTCATCCCCTTCTTAGCAGCGCTGCCACAACAGCAACTGCTGCAGGTGCAGCAGCCAAAGGAGGAGGAAGAGGAGGAGGAGAAGGAGAAGGAGAAGAAGGGGTATCAGTGCCGGAAGTGTCATCTTATCATCGTCGTTCTCTAACAAAAGAAGCTGCAGGAGAAATTTCTGCTGGGGGTGATGGAGAGGGAGGGGGGACGGAACAACAGCACGGGATTAAGGGATTGGACGAGACCCTATATGTTGTCGTGGACGCCTGGAAATTGCCGAACGGGAAGGAGACGAAGGCAGTGCTGGAAGGAAAGAGCATAGATCCGGCAGCAGCAGCTCTAAGTGTCGAGAGAGCAGCGCAAGCAATGAAAAGCATTATGTGTAAAAGAACGTACACGGAAGAAGAGAGAGAAAAGAGAAAGAGAATGAGAAACGATAAGAAAGTGGGGACGAATAGAGGCGGTGAACGAAGCAGGAGAAATTTATGATGATGTCCAGGGGGTTTCATAAACCCCTCGTGTTATTCGTTGAAAAACACATACAGGTGAAGGGAGGTGAAGGGAGGTGAAGGGAGGTGAAGGGAGGTGAAGGGAGGTGAAAGGAGGTGAAGGGAGGTGAAATGAGGAAAGATAACCTGGCTTTGGTGGTGGTAGTTGTGGTTGTGATGATAAACAAACATGGCAGAGGCCCCAGGAGAATCGCATGATGCCATGTGTCTTTTAAGGGGGGAGCGGGGGGTGCAAGGACTCCCTTCTCCTGGCTCATTCTGCATTCCATGGCTTGCAAACCCAACACAACCTTTCTCCCCCCCCCCTCCCCCCCAACCTCACTTATAACCAAACACCTGCGAGGAAAAAATCTAGATGAAAGAAGAGCCAGAAATGTCAGGAATTGTTACCAAAAAAAAAAAAAAAAAGGCAAATGGAAAAGCGAGGGTTTTCAGGAGCTTGTCACATTCCTTGAGGAAAAAGTATTGTCGACAGCCTTGGCACCCGAATAATACCCGTGGGATGTTTTCCCTCCCTTTCCCCTAATAAGACTGTTTCTTGCTCCCATCGCTTGATGTTGGAGAGCTGCAAAAGCTTTTAAGTCTCAAGTTTCCTCGTGAGGCTTGCCAGCAAATTAACCATCGAAGAATTGTCTGACCCATTTTTTACACAATCATCTGGCATTACTAGTATATAAGTAAACATAAGAATTGTCTCACCTTCGGGGGCGCAATATAATGGTTGTGATGGCATCAGCTTTCGCCGCAGGTTGCAAAGGTCATGTGCGTCTTCACACACCCACCCGAGGTACAGGAGAGGTTCAAAAAATCGGTTCTTGAGCAACAGAGATCACACGGATAAGAGAGGGTAACCAGTTCAACCTATGGTGTTTCGCGAACACTTTCACTAACCTTCACACTCATTCAGGTGCACATATTTGTGCACGGACGCATGTCTCCAAAATGAAATGTGAGAATTTTCTGACCTTTTGGGGGTTGGGGGGGGGGCACATTCACGTAATGGTTGTGGTGGCATCGACTTTCTCCACAGGTCGTAACGGCCAGGTACGCCTGCCTTAACACACCCGGCAGAGGCACCGGAGGAGTTCCGGAAACAGGTTCTTGAGCAACAGAGGTCGCATGGAAGGCGGGAAATATCCTCCATCCGCTAGGGCAGAGAGTGTGGAGCTGTTGGGTCTTGAGAATGCCACCCCTCATTATGTACAAGTGCCTGCGGCAGTCGTGGATTCTCACATCTACTACCGCCCCGCCAACGAGGACGATTTGCCGAGTATTAACGCGCTAGAGCTAGAAAGCTATCCCTCGGATGAAGCTGCATCCCCTTCCACAATGCATTACCGAATGACTCATGCTCCCTCGTTCTTCCTCGTGGCCGAGCGAATGAGCGCAAATGGAGAGAAGAGGATCGTAGGTTATGTCTGCAGTACTCTTTCTTTCATTGACAAACTTGGTCACAGCACTATGTTTGTACACGATCCATCGGGTTCCTGTTTGTGCATCCATTCTGTGTGTGTTGATATGACTGAAAGAAGAAAGGGTATTGGTTCGCGCCTTCTGCAAGCTTACGTGAGATACATTGCAGCTACAGCGGCAGGTCAAGTCAAGACGATCCGACTGCTGTGTAAAGAGCAGCTGGTGCCTTTTTATTGCATGGCAGGGTTTTCTGTAGTGGGCCCATCCGATGTTGTCCATGGACGCGACCAATGGATAGAGTGCATGATGACGATGCCAGAAGATTCAAGTCTATAAGCTTTGTGGAGGTTGACTCCCTAGCCAGCAATGACCGTGAGGTTCAAGCAACAGGATGCCTCTACTGCCTGCTCCGAAATAGAGCACACTAGAGCACAATAGAGCACACTAGAACACAGTAGAATAGAATAGAGCAGACTAGAACACAATAGAACAGAATAGAGCACAATAGAACACAGTAGAACAGAATAGAGCACAATAGAACACAGTAGAACAGAATAGAGCACAATAGAACACAGTAGAACAGAATAGAGCACAATAGAACGCAGGGCCAGCTGGTTGACTGTAGATTGTGAGCAAGGTACAGGAGTTGTGTCGGTTGGGTGGGGGGTGCAGGAAGAGGGAGGGAGGGAGGGGGGTGCTGCAGGAGGCATGTGGCACGACTCAAGAAAGGTTTACAAAGGCCAAAACAAAGGGGCCATCCCTGTGGGGTTTCTCTATGAAGGGAAGAGGTAGAGTTGGAGCAGAGTTGAGGCACTCCTGTTTGCAGTGCAGTTTTGCAGAGTGTATGGTTCTAGTTGGGGTCGCCGACAGGCTCAGGGCATTCTCCTTGGAGGATCAGGGTTTGAGTGAGGCGGGAAGGAGGCAAGGTGAGAGAGAGAGACAGAGAGAGAGACAGAGAGAGAGACAGAGAGAGAGACACAGAGAGAGAGAGAGAGAGAGAGAGAGAGAGAGAGAGAGAGAGAGAGAGAGAGAGAGANAGAGAGAGAGAGAGAGAGAGAGAGAGAGAGAGAGAGAGAGAGAGAGAGAGAGAGAGAGAGAGAGAGAGAGATTTGCTGGGGTCCTGCGGGGAAGGAAGGGAAAGGAAGGTTTGAAAATCTGGCCTTCAAATTGGAACTCTTTAAAAATCCGACAAGTTGGGCATGTCATCGCCAAAAGGGTGCTTTTCGTGGACTTACGCTCAAATCCTTTTTTTTTTAAGGGGGCTTATTGAGTAGGTGACACACCACCCTCCTCTCAAGAAGAAGAGGAGAAGAAGAGAAATCTGATAGGGAGGACAGGAGTGCTCTGAGAGATAAAGCCCATGGCCCACACCATTTTTTTGACCTGCCCCAGGTAGTTCGGACTTGCAACGTTTTGTTCTCCCAAAAAAAAAGAAAGAAAAAGTTCACAGAATTATTGAATTTCATCGTCACTCATCTTGTTCCGTCTGGATTCGAACTCTGGTCTGTATTTCAGCAGTTCATGGGTGTACCAACTGAGCTAGGCCCGTTGGTCCCCAACAAGCGTTCTCTGAGCATCGGTCCCAAGATCGATGACAATACTCGCCAATCAATGGCCACTTGTTCCACGCGCCAATTCAGCAGCAAAGAATTGTCTGAGCGTCGGATCCAAGTTGAGCGGCATTGCATAGTCGACGATGGGTGTTGACTGTGAGAAGTCCATGAAAGTTCCATCTTTTCTTTATTTCTTTTATTTTCCAACCATTCAGTGGCACTCACGCTTTTTTTTTTTTTTTTTTTTTAATCCAGGTGCTTGTAGAGGTTGGAAGCCAGACTGTGATGATAGTCACCGTCCTGTAGTCGGCCATTAGGTTATATCCAGATGGTCGACCGAGGGCCCCATTCCTTATGGGACTCCCTCCCGCCACCCTCCCGACATCTCAATGGGAGTGACCCGACCGTACAGCGGTTGTAGGCACTGGGGAGTGACTAAGAAACACTGTATTCTCTGTTTTGTTTTTTTCTTCCCATGTGATCGGATGGGACCACAGATCCATTTTGAGCATAGTTGGAATTTGCTTACGATGTTTTGTTTTGTTTTTTGCTTCATTTATCACCTGTTTTGAGAGGCAAATGGTAATGAAAGCGCGCACGACTTCCGTATATTTGTGCGGTTGGCAGTGCCCACACACCCATCCACAGTATATTCATACGTCTGTCTGTCCATTTGTGTTCTTATGGCACATCCAATTTCTTGTCAAATACAATTGTTGCTGTTGCAACAAAACCAACTGGCCTAGCTCAGGGCATACTCGCACTGGGACCCCAAATCCGCAAAATATGTGGATTTGGGAAGGGCCGATTTGAGGTTTTGGGCATGGTTCGGGTCGCACTGATGTACCTTTTTGGATGGTGGGACAAGGTTGTACCCGTCTGGAGAAATGGGGATTTGGTAATTTGCAGGTCACATAGCGCCGTCCACAAATTGTGCAAGAACTTACGTTTGTGAATGAAATTTTGCGAATTTTCAATGGACATGCAAAAAATAAATAGGGCATTTGCAGTCACCTCCAGAGGTGACCGCGAATTCCCTTACCCCGCGGCTTCCCAGGCTGCTGACAAATGAACACACAAATAGTACGTTTGGTACATTTGGCAAATCTGTGTGATCGGCCCTCTAGGGCTTCTGCCCTTTTTCGGGGGGAATTTGGGGTTATAGGTCCCAGTGCGAGTATGCCCTCGGTTGGTACACCTCTGAACTGTTCAAATGCAGACCTGAGTTCGAACTCCCACAGACGCAGATGAATAAAATGCTATCATTCTTTTTTTTTTTTTTTTTTTTTTTAAAAAATAGGGCCCAGTGCCCAAGGCTCCAATTATGAAATTGATTACAACACTTATATGCACGCCTCTTCCCATTAGGGCTGGAAGAGCCTCAGCCACTGCTCCCCTGGAGACAGCTTCCCTGCCTAACACGGATACTGCATTGTGACGGCGCATTGATTGCTTCCTCAGTGAAGAAGGATTAACCCCGTTTGTGTGCAGAATCAATCTCTGCCCTACGAAACTCCTCAATTATCCGTACTTCTATCTTCTACAAGGTGAGGAGTAGGGGAGATACTAATAAGGCAAAAGGAATGATAACAGGGCGAGAAGGTATAGTAGTTCATTTGTAATTACGACAAGCTTCCCCTAAACAGCAGTAGTTAACACAGACACAAACCCTAGGGGAGCACTGTCATTGGAAAAAATTGTAATCTAAACCTAAAGACCATCAAACCAAGTCAAACCCTAGCCCATGACGACCAAGGATTGAATATGGCCCTATCAGATGGAGATGGACTGAGATCAAGTGCCATGAGAGAGGAAGAATTCACCAAACTGGCGAGAACCACACCGATGAGAAAGAGGTGGGGAGGGAGGGAAAGAGAACAAACCAAGAAGTCATCCCTGCCTCCCAAACCCCCTCTCAGCAGCCTCTCATCTTCCTCCCGAATCCCAAGGAAAAAACTCGTCATCTTTCCACCCCTCACCGCATCGCCATATCAGCATAATCTCATGCACGACAAAATTTTCATGCGAGAGGGTGGGAAGAAACTGAATAGCCCTCACCATGGTAGCTGGCCCATCGGCAGATCTTGGTTGGACGCCGATTGTATAGAAGGAAGTGGGCAAGCCAATCGTGGTTGAAGATTGTATTTCAGATGCCATCGTCAGGATCGCTGTTGTTGTCGTTGGAAAAATAGTTGTAGATGATATCGTGGTTGGCGCTGATGGTGTAGATAGTGTATCAGATATCTTGGATGTCATCGTCAGGATCGCTGTTGTTGTCGTTGGAAAGATTGTTGGTGTAGATGATGTCATCGTGGTTGGCGCTGTTGATGTAGAAGGTGTTTCAGATGTCATCGTCAGAATCACAGTTGTTGTTGTTTGAAGAATTGTCGGTGTTGATGATGCCGTCGTGGTTGGCGCTGTTGATGTAGATGTAGTTGACGAGCCTATTTCTGATGTTGTCGTGAGTAGCGCTGTTGTTGTCGTGATGACGCTCATCGGTGTTGATTCTGTCGAAGATAACATCATCACTGTTAACCTATCAGCAGAATTTGTCTCAATTGTTGGAATTGTTGTGTGGATTGTTGATGTAGAATAGGATGTCATTGTCGTGCCCATTGTTAATGCTGTTGGAGTTGTCTTCACGTTCACTTCTGAAAGTTGCTGCAGACGATTTGTGGCTGCGCTCACAAACACCACCCCAGATGTGCATATTGCCCCCTTATCACACAGATCGCTCCCTCTCTCGTAAATCGCATACCAATCACCCATCAAGGAGTCCGCGAGCTGCCAGTCAAGGAGATCATCCAGCTGTGGATCAGGCCCTTCATTCTGTCTTAAACCACCAGCACTTGGCCCAGCTATCGAAGCCGAGCCTCCCAGCCCCCTGCGCGCCAAGTCCTACCCAACTGCCGTCGGTCTTTTCTGTTTTCATTTTGGCTGTGGCCTCCAGCCTATGCGGTCTGGTAGGCCGAAGCCCGAATGCCATGGCGCGTTAATGGGAAAGGGCCGCGGCCTATAGCTGGGCCAAGTACTGGTGGTTTAACTAGGGCAGGTCAGCTCAATGGATGATGATATCTCAAGGTCGCCGTCCTTTGCTAAAAAAAAAAAAACATAAAAAAAAAGAAAAATAATAAAAAATTGCAACAGCAAAGATGTGCTCAAGTCGGAGACAAGGGCGGGAAAAGTGGGGTGAGGGCAGGAAGAATGGGCAAGAAGAGAAAGGGAAAAAAAAGGGAAAGGGGATGAAGAGTGGGAAGACTGGGCAAGGAAATAAAAAAAATGGAAAAAAACACCTGCAATTGACCCAAAACAAAATCAAATAAGGGTTTTATTTGAGTCAAAATCCCCGAAAGAGAGGCACAGGCACATATTTGTGTAAATCTTGCGTGAAGTCAGGCTACCAGAGTGGCCCCGGACCACTTGGCCGGTCGGGCCAAAAGAAGTTAAAAGATTACAAATTAAAAGAAAAAAATATTTTAATTTTTATTTAAAATTTTATAAGGAATTTTGATTCGATTTGACCCTGGGGCCAGGACCCACTAGCACCGTATTATACTGTGTACGTACAGTTTCAATCATGTGTGATGGAGTTGGATTACTACACGCCATCGATGGAGAGTCTTGAACAGATTCAGAAAAAGCCAAAAAGTTTTGGCTGTGTACCCCACGCACCTTTACCATTTGTTCCTTTTTCTTTTATTCCAAAAGTGTTGTGTTTTCCAGACTTTTTTTTTTTTTGGGGGGGGGCAATATTGTGACCTTGCTACAGTGCTTCGTGCGCACGAAAAGGCTGACAAAAAAAAAAAAAAGTTGTGTGCACTGCCAAATATCATAATGACCTGACAGCAGTGACCTTCAGAGGACCCAACCCATTGGCTGAGTGCAGCACACACCCAGAAAAAGGGGCGATGAATTCCATGGCTCACAGCCCATTGGCTGACGGGAGTGCCCTAAGCTGAATTTTTCTTTCTTTAACTCGCAGTAAGAGAGTTTTTCAAATCTGAAAAAATCCAGAAACCATTTTTCAAATGCCAAAAGGGTGTCACACGG